TCCCGTAAAAACATAATACTACATTAATCGTATATTTGTTGAGTTCTCATAACCATACTATCATATTTGCCTGCAGCGACGTTCTTCATGCGTCAAAACGTTATGACACTTGTCACCGCGCAGACTATAGCTAGCAGTCAGAGTGCGGGATCATTAGTCCCGTATAGATCTATACACACTTGCCACACTCTCCGGACGGGAGATTCTGGTTATAAGATAGGACTTACTATAGTACCTTGAAAGTTATAGTGAAGATGTTGTCTCACGAATTCTCAATTAAGTCACGTATTACAAGGAGTATGTTTGTATTCGTAAAGTTATCGTTTTTCCATAGTATTGTCAAAACCATAGTAGTAATGTATATATTCCCATGAATATAAAATGTTGTAGTTGAAATGCTCGCTTTTGGTATGAAAACGCATACGTATTTATAAATAAAACATATTTTCATTTACAAACCATGTTGTATCCCAAAGGTGGGTAAAGTAGTGTAAGATGTCTATATGTTAACTAAACCATTCGATAGTTATAAAAACATCATGCAATGTATACCCAAAAGTTCGATGTTTTCATGCGATTAAAGTTGCGTTTTTACTTGTATTCTCCCTCGAATAGTAATAAAAGCCTTTCAAAAGCATTTAAAATGGTAGAAAAGGGGGTATGAACTCACTTGATTAGTTTGAAGAGAGTGAGACGAGAATCGAGCAGAACTTCGACTGCGGAAAGCTGCTTCTTCGGGTTTCTCGGGAATCTTGGGAGCGTAGAACTCTCATCGGGGCTCGGGTATGGAATCGAGGGCGTCGGGGTAGTCTCTGGAGCTCAAGAGGGTGTGAAAGTGAGAGAGGTTTGAGTGTTGAGTGCCAAAAACCCGGACCTCATGCACTCTATTTATAGTGTTGGAAATCCTCGTACGTTGGGCGTACTCTAGGGGTACGCTGGGCGTACTCCGGAGTCTTCAGCGCTTACGACTTGAGTCTAGCTAGCCTGCCAGCCGATGGGACGGGGCTCTGCGTCTGAGTACGCTGGGCGTAACCCAAATTACGCTGGGCGTAATTTGGATTTCCAACTTCTAAATTCCGTAACTTTTGCGTACGAGCTCCGTTTTCCGCGTTCTTTATATCCACGCGTAGGTGAGACTGTGCTCTACAACTTTCATTTAGACTCCGTCGGCTAGTTTTGACTTTATTTTTAATAATATATTTTTAATAGGCCGGGACCGATAAAGTCCGTTAAAAATCCATAACTCCTCTATCCGATGTCCGTTTTCGTCTGTCTTTTTACCGTTGCGATGCTCTTGTTGAGACCTTCGACTTTCGTTTAGATTGCGTCGGCTAAAAATCGTTCGATCTCTATTTCGAGTTTTTAGCTGTCTACTGCTATTCTTAAACTTCGAAAAATCATAACTTCCTCATATGAAATCAGATTTGGGCGTTCTTTTTATGTATATTTACAGTTTAACGATATCTACGACTTTCATTTCGAAACCTAAGGCTGAAAAGTATTTTATTGAAACTTCGCATTTTACATTTATTAGTGTTTTACCAGTATTGTACAGATTTTTAAATGAACATAACTTCTTCGTTATAACTCGGATTTTTGTGTTCTTTATATTTTTCGAAACCTTATTACAATATTTTCCACTGGGTATACTCAAACTGAGCTTTCTGAATACTTCATTTTTTACGCTACTTTTATTAATTCATAAAAGAGATTACAAAAGTTGACTTTTAAGTCGTTACATTGATCTGAAATAACGGGTTGTTACATCATCCCCCGTTAGAAGGAATTTTGTCCCGAAATTAATTTACAAGATAAGTGTTTATGGACTAGGGAAGAGATGCGGATATTTTTGTTGCATGTGATCTTCTCGCTCCCAAGTGAATTCAGGTCCCCGCTTAGCATTCCAGTGGAAGATTTAATTATATATATATATATATATATATATATATATATATATATATATATATATATATATATACACACATTGAAGTTAACAATAGTATAGTTTCTAAACTTTAAACTTTGGTCACACCACTATGTCAAATTTACACACGAGTCCCTATTAATATATATATATATATATATATATATATATATATATATATATATATAGGTAGGTTCAAATGTGGATGAACAATATGTGGATTAATATGGGCCAAGTATTATTTAATTTTAATAAATATTTAATTAAATCTTCCACCCTTTAATTTAGGCAAATTACTCTATTTAAAACCCTATCAAACCTTCGGCCATATCCCTCCTGCTTCGATCGACCGACCCCATGGAAAATAAATATTACAATTCATGTTTCACCTTCGACCCCTTCTTCTTTCTCACAATGCACACAAGTCTCGACCAATCAAACCGAAGAACCAAATCGATTATCTGCCCATCGACACTCCACTGTCTACAGCTACAGCTGACGCCTAAAACTGAGTTCATTTGCCCATCGTTTGATTTATTTTATGCTGAGAAGTAAGGCCTTGGACTGTTGATGATGCTTCATAGATTGATTTAATTCTTTTGATACTTCATTTTGAATACTTCATCTTACCCTCTCTTGATTGGCTTGATACTTGTATTTTTACTTCAATTCTATTCTTTCGTCTTCAGGCACGAAGTTGAAAAGTGGACATCTTTTAGTCAAATTTATTTCACTACATGTGGCATTATGGATGAATTTTTTAGCACAAGCTAGCCTCTCGAATTCAAGAGTTGACATGGGATTTGGTATATTAAATGGAATATCTATTGGCCTTCCTGGGTTTCAGTAGTGTTGGTTTTTACAAGGTAATATTATTTATTTTATTAATATATAATCCAATTTGACTGTAAATGAGAAATTTTTATGGTTTCATAATTTCATTATAGATACTAATAAAAAGAAATTATATAAATGGCACACATGTGTCTCCACTAAAAGATCAAAATAGAATGCTAAAAAAACGAGCTCAAGAGAATTGTTGAATCTGAAGTAAAACTTATGAGTTAATTCCAACAGAATACATACGGTAATTGAATCTTGAATTCAAATTCTATTGAAATGGAATCACGAATTCCAATTCTGTTGGAATGTAATCTAGAAATTTCTCACTGATTTATGCATGTTCTACAATTCTTGGTTATTGGTTTTGGTGCAATTCACAAGTCCGCATATTTTTCCAAAGGAATTTAGTTTTTTATTTTTCATTTGCTAATGCATTATTGGATTCTAAACTACAATTTGGTTTTGTTTTCACAGAAGTTGATGCTTGAAGAACGGACCACAAAATTGAAAGTGATTCTATAAGAATTAATGTAATTTTTGTTATTATTCTTCAACCCATGGTTCAAATTTTTGTTATTTTTCAAAATGTTATTTTTCTGTCCGGATATCATTCTAGCAGAATCAGATCGTTTATGATTAAAAAAATATGTTCGATTTGAATTAACTAAAAAACAATCATAATTTTTAAAATTAAAAAATCAATTATCCCTTGAATTCCGATAATTTCCATTTTTAAATATAATTTAATTTAGGAAAAATGCTTGGACCACAAAGGATCCTTACATCCATACAATAGTTACAATCCACAATATAATCTAACCATATATATATATATATATATATATATATATATATATATAATAATTTTTTAGCCTTTAGGTTTTTTCCACAAATCTTTAATGACTTTGACACTTTTAGTCATTGCAGTCAAAAGTTTTATATTTTGGTGTTTTTGCCACAAATCTTTAATAAAATTGACGCTTTTCGTCCTTGTACTCAAAACTTTTATATTTTGACATAAGAAACACAAAAAACCTCCTTTTGAACTTTGCCACCATATTTTACCAACTTTCGCAACTTTAATATTATTGCCATAACATTTTTAAATTTTCTCCACCGGTGTCCCTTCCTTTTGGTTGTACACTTTTGATATCTAATTTTAGAGGCTGTCAACTTTCTCATCTATTTGTGGTGATTTACAATTTCAGTACATATTTTTTAAAGTTTGCCGATTTTTTCATATTACCTTTAAAGCGACATAGCCGCGAGTTCTTTACTAAATAATATAATTTAATATATGACACAATATTATAAGTATAAAATATTACATTTAAGTTATAATTATTAGATAAAAAACCAGAAATATATAAATATATAAAAAGATGGATTAAAATCGACAACTCAAAAATCATCCCCATTTTGGGGGAAATGAATAGTATAACACCAATATGGTGTTATACTATTAATTTCTCTCAAAATGGGAGGAATAAATAGGATAGGATTGGAGAGAAATAAGATAAAAAATAGAGAAAATAATGGAAAATAAAAATGGGTTGAAGATGCTCTAAGGGCATCTCCAACCCATCCCCAAACTCCATTTCTTCCACCATTTTTGCCCCCATTCTTCTCCAACCCTATCTCATTTTCACCTCCATTTTTGGAGATATGAATAGTATTCCCCCATATATGGGGGCTATTCATATCTCCAAAAATGGAGGTGAAGTTTGGTTGCCAATTTTAGTCCCTCTCATTTTTATTTTATACATTTCTAGTTTATTTTATCTACTAATTATAATTTAAATGCAATATTTAATATTTATAATATCATGTTATATACTAATTTACATTAATTAATCATAAATAGAGAATTTAATTAGTAGAGGGTGTATTTTGACAATATATATAAGTTGTAAAAATGGAATATTCTAGGAATATACTTTTTGGGGTAAAAAATGAGATATAAAATAGAGTAGGATTGGAGATGAAACACTATTATTCCATTTTTTACTCTATTTATGGGGAAAAAATGAAGATGGGTTGGAGATGGTCTAAGTAAGTCAACCTGCATTTACTTTCTTTGCATTTACTTTTTTTGGTCAAACTATTATATATATATATATATATATATATATATATATATATATATATATATATATATATATAATCTTCCAAATGCAACAAACAAAAAATGAAACCGGTTATGAGTTTGAGGTTTGCCCAATTCGTAATTGTTATGTTTGTCATCGTCACAACTTCATTGGCATCTCCGATTATCACCATTGGCTCAGGTATGCCTTAGTGTTTTTTAGGGATAAATGATTGCCTATTTGTTCTGTGTTTTTCTAATTTATTAAAGAAGAACTAACTAAATACAAAATCACAAAATTTTAACCATAAAGAAATTAGAATCGTATGAATCATGGTAACCCTTTTGGTGCGAATGATTTTTTAAAAGTAAAATTCTCTATTTCAAAGTTAATATAATAAATTCTCAATTTTAAGAACATTTTCGAAATCGAATTAATAATTTCACAATTGGAGATATATTTTAAAAATTAAATTCTTATTTTTTTAGTGGGATTTTTTAATCTCACAATGATCCGTTGAAAAATTGGAGTTCGTTTAAGTTATTTTTCAATATGCTGTCATTTTGTAGAACAACCCCCAAAATGGTAATTTTTGTAGATATCGTTTATTTTATTCATATTAATAATCATTTTGGATATTTGATTAACAAGAAATTCATTTAAAATATTTAATATAAAATAATAATAATAATAATATTAATATTAAATACTATGTTAAATGATAGGTAAAGATACGCGTATAAAAGTGTTATGCAACACTGGGATGGCTTGCAGAGAGGGTGACTATACATTTTCTTTGTGTGAACAGTTTTGCAACGATAACCAAGGACCAAATGGATGGCATGCTGTTTGTCAGGCTGGTATGTGTTGTTGTAAAGCACCAGATGCAACACCAACACAAAACTACAAACACATTATTTAATATTTAATTACCTGATTACATACCATAAATGAAATGATGTTGGTAACTAAAAAATCAAGAAGGAAGACAAAAACTAGATTTTCTAAAGTGACGTACATAGAAAATGTTTACAAAAGAAATTAAAAACCAATCATCTTTATATTCTATATCATTCGTCTTGTAGCTTCAAAATGATAAAAATGTATTATAAATGAAAAACATGCATATACGAGGGACATACAAAACATTTCTTATGGGTTTTAAATGCAAGAAATAAAAAATTATGGTTTGTTTCTATCGCTATCACAACATTAAAGTTTTACATTTTTCTTATTAAAGATACAATCCTTTAGAAAATCAACCAAATTATAATGTTTTACTTCTTTTTTCTATAATATGCATCCTACTTTTTGACAATGAATTACATCTTATTTTTTAACAGTTAAAAATGGAATTAGTGTTGGGTGGCAACAAAACAAGTTAAACACTTGAGACAAATATCAAAAAACAAACTTCAATGAACTCACGAAAAACTTCTGAAAAACGTAAATAAAAAAAACACAATATTTAACGTGCTTCGGTCAATGTGACCTACGTCCGCGGGCGAACGAGAGAAAGATGGTTTTATTAATTTTCTGAAACTATTACAAACACTCAAAATTATATCTAACTTTGAGCTCTCATAAAAATCTAGAAAATTACAATGATATGGATATGAGCCTATTTATAGGCAAGCGTGGGAAACTCTAATTTTGATGGACCAGAACCATCTATAATTAGCCCATTTAAGGGATGCCTTAATTTCCAACCAATCATTGAATGCCCATTTAAGGGATGCCCTAATTGAATGCCAATTAACTATAAATATAAAGTTTGTTTTTGTTTATCACATTTATATTAAAATTTAAATACATATTGAAATTTTAAAACACGATAACGTATTTTACAAAAACTTATAATTAAGTGTTATAAATATAATCTTATTTATTTAATATTATTGTAATAAAATATATATATATATATATATATATATATATATATATATATATATATATAATATTTGTTAAAACCAAATTAATAGAAGGGATGTGTTTGACAATTTATATAAGTTAGAAAATTGGAATAACTTTATGTTACTTTCTAACTATTACAAAGTCACTTGAAAAATATTTTATTACTATAAAAAATAATTTCGGATATCATTTTAGTTAATCTTACAATTCAACCAAGGTTTGTTTTAGTGCATTTAAACATTTTAACTATTTTTTTTATCACTTTTAGGTTTATTTGAGATTTTGGTTAGGTTTTTACATCTAATACCCTATTTAAATTAATAAATCTAATATATTATATTGTTAATTTAAAAGTTGAATATAGACATTGTATTCAATATCATATTTTAATTAAAAACTAAGTATATTATATTAATAATTCAAATAACTATCATATTAATGATAACATTTTATATTTAATAAGTTAAATAAGGTTGAAAGTTGAAAGCACATGATTTTCAAATCGGTATATTGAGAATAAAAATGATTCGGTTATAGTTTAATTGCATAAAAACCAACATTATTTTTCCAACTTTTTGTTGAAAATTGATACTTTATATTTGAAATCGATTTACTTTGTAAACTCAACATCGTTATAATCAAATAATAGGATGTGATGTTTAATTATATTTTATTACTTGATCTTTAATATTTGGAAAAGTTTCCAAGGATAAAATATGATTAATGAATTATGTAAGTATTTTAACTTTTATAGGAAACCTTTGTTTATAGAATAAATTAGCTTATTAAGTTTTGCATACCATTGCAATGTGTGATCAAATTTGCCTTTATCATGTATCTTTTTGTAATATGTTTTTTTATCCTGTATCGCTTACTAAACAAAGTGTAAGTGAAAACAAGAAACTATAAGTAAAGTGGCTAACACATTTTTTTATCCCATATTGCTTAAGAAACAAAATTCAAAGGAATATAAACATCTACAAGTGAAGTGGCTAAAACATTTTTCCTTATATCTTTGTTCTCGTGTTCTTGATTGTGACCGGTTTAAATATCAATTGCAACATTCTTGGAATATTATAATAGAATTCCATGGAAATCAAGTAACATTATTTTTCAACTATTTTTGTTGAAAATTGATACTTTATAATCACAATTGACTAATTATGTAAACTCAACATCGTTATAATCAAATAATAGAATGTTTAATTATATTTTTTCCATTGAACTTTAATATTTGGAAAAGTTTGTAAGGATAAAAAGTGACTAATGAATTATATAACTATTTTAACATTTAAGAGAAACATTTATTTATAGGATAAAATATATTATTAAGTTTTGTATACCATGGCGATGTGGGATAAATTTGTCTTTATCATATGTCTTTTTGTGGCATAATCATTTATCCCACATCACTTAAGAAACAAAATGGAAGTGAAAACAAACAACTATAAGTAAAGGGGCTAAGACATTTTTTATCCTACATTTTTTGAGAAACAACAATCAATGAAATACAAACATCTATAAGTAAAGAAGTAAGAACATTTTTTGTATATCTTTGTTCTCTTGTGCTTTTTATTGTAATTAGTTTAGATATCAATTGCAACATTCAAGGTCATTGTCGACCACAAAAGTTTTTTTTTGGTAGAATTATCTTATTTTCTATTTTTTGTGATGTCCAACAATACTAGAATATAAAATGATGTTATTATGATGACCTTATTTAATGAATATGCAATCATCATAAACTTAAAAAAAAAAAAATAACCTTCATGGAAAGCCTTAAGAAAATCCTTTAACATTTATATAACTATAATGTTCAATTTAATTTCTTTGAACAGTGTTCAAACATTCAGTGTAAATAAAAATTATGTATATGTATGGTGATGATTCGAAAGAAGTTTACTTGTGTCACAATACAGTAGACTATGAAAATCGACATACTATGAGTATGAGTGAGTAACGTAACAGTATACCTACTTTCGGAACCAGAATCGTCTCGTAACCGTCTATTTCAGAACTAGAACCGTCTTAAGCAGTTCCGGTTTAATTTTTTTGGAACCGCTACTTGTCGGGTACCCGTTCTCATTATATGCTACTCATTTTTTTTAATATAAATATGTTTTTAGCTATAATGTACTAACTTAAATACACATATGAATTACCATTATTAGTATTGGAATTTAAAATTTAGATTTTGGTAGAGTATGTTTTAAGTAAAAGATATTATGCATTGCTTACCTACATGTTAATAAAGTTTTAAGTATCGGTTGTTGTACATCACTAATAACACCAAATATTGATATATAATAATACAAAATATTGATATCGATATTAAACATACATAATATAATCAGTGCTAGACTTCTAGCCCAATAAAATGTTGGTTACCAAGTGAAAGTGAAACCACGTAACAACTTAGGACCTTTAATCATATACATTGGCGGAGGCTCTTAGAGGCCAGGAGAGGCCATGGCCTCCCCGATTTTGAGGTTGATAATACATATATGTATATAGGTTAGTTACGAAAAAATCATTAATATGACTAATTGGCCCTGATTATGAGCTTCCTATAATGATGTAATATAACTCATAAAACTTACCTTTAAGAAACTAGATAAAGAATCAACCAAAAAGTCTGCAAATCACTGAAAAAATCAAAACCAACCTTCATTCGTTCGGAAACCAAATCATAGAAGAAATTACTCTCAAACTCTATAAAAGCAACTAATCATAATCTAATTTACAACTTTTTTAACTCAAGTTTTGAGTTTATGAAAACAATAAACCAAAAATACTTATTCCAGCCAACGGAAAAATATATCTCAAAGCTGCCGATAAGAAAACATCGTCGTTGAAAGAAGAAATCTCAAATCTGACCAGAAACCGCAACAAGTTGTTTGGCTCCTCACACCGGTCATGAGACTGCTTGCCTCTAACCTCCGGCGTGCTCTTTGTTGGCTGCTGCCCCTTTCCTCTCATGTCTCCTCACCACCGGCGCAACAATGAAGTTGTACGTATTCCCTTTGCATCTCTCTTTTTACTTCCATCCTACTCATAAATAGATAAGATTGTTTATACTTTGATTACTGTGAAGATATCCATACAAAATATATGATATAGACTTTTGAGTCTAGAAGCTGCCACAGTGTAAATAAGTGAATAACTACTATTACTTTATTAAATATAAATTTATAGCTTGTTATTAGTAGTTAGTATAGTTAAAAATAGATAAAGAAATCGTTAGTAGCTTAGTGTAGTTAGAAATTTATAATAAAACATATTTATTAAGTTTATTTATATGTTTTTGTTTTAAAAAAAAAAATGATATAGTCCATGTAGACACTAAAGTAATTACTAATTACTAAAATATGAATATATAACACTATGACATACAGGCAACTAAAATCCTAATATATCAAAAATCCTAATCCTAATATATTAGAAATCGTAATGTATCATGAAAATGTAAGACTATAAGATGACCAAACAAAATAAAGAAATCATTAGAATGGTTAGAATTTTATATTAAAAACTATATTTATTAAACTTGTTTATATGTTTTCGTTTTGAAAATCTTATTTCGGCCCCCGCAATTATAGTCTTCGTGTTCCACCCCTGATCATATAAACATTTTTACATGATTATAATTTTCTATTATTATAAGATGAGATTTATACAAAAGTTTTGACTGTAGTTTAAGTAATATTAACCAAACATTTTTAATTAGTTGCTCCAAGTCATAACTAGTTGGAAATGAAAATGATAATGTATGCTTATCTATAGATTGAACAGTCACACATAAACTTAAACCTAGGTACTTGGTTAAGAATCGGTTCCCGCCGGTTCCAATTTGGTTCCAATATTCTAAGAACCACCGGTTTAGATTCCGGTTTTGGTTTTGGTTCCAGTCAAATAGGGTGGGATATCCACTTATGCTCACCCCTAAATATGAGCATGCAAACTTAATCATTTTGTAAGTGTTTAACTATTTTTTATAATAACTTTTAAGTTTTAATACTTCTAAAAGTTGAAACCAAATAATAAAATACTTAAAACTTTGAGATAAAAACGTGTTTTTATAATGAAATGGCCACTAATAAATATTAGTAATAGAACCGACCCGGGTCCCGAGTTTAAAGAATGACTTTATCCGGGTTCTGGGTAATCCGATTTTTAGGTCCTCCGGGTCGAGGTAAACTGGGTTTAAGAACCGGAACCGTTTTAGGAACCAGAACCGGTTTTAGGGGTCGGGACCGATTTTTATGAAAAGTTTAAAATATCAATATCTCATTCGTTTGAACTCATATTAGCATGAGTTTTTTTTTCCAGAGTGTAGTTTATAGTTTGTACATGGTTTTAGAATATAATTTTGTCATTTTTGAGTTAATATTCATTAAATTACAGTCCCCCAAAGTCGGGATATCAAAACTGTGAATTTTTTGTTTTTCAGCTTTATTTTTATATTTTGTGAAAATTTTAAAATACAAATCCAATTCGTTTGACGTCGAATTATCATGAGGTTTTTTGTACTGTATAGTTTAGAGTTTTTAAATGATTTTAGACTATAATTTTGTGATTTTTGGTTTCATATTCATTGACTTACAGTCCCCCAAAGTCGGGATATCAATGTTGTGAATTTTCTATTTTTCAGCTTTATTTTTATGTTTTGTGAAAATTTAAAAATGCATATCTAATTCGTTTGAAGTCGGATTATCATGAGGTTTTTTGGAACATGTATTTTAGAGTTTGTAGATTATTTTAGACTATACTTTTATCATTTTTGGTTTCATATTCATTGACTTAAAGTCCCCAAAAGTCGAGATATCAATGCTGTGAATTTTATGTTTTTCAGTTTTATTTTTATATTTTTGTGAAATTTTAAAAATACATATCTAATTCATTTGAAGTCGGATTATCATGAGGTTTTTTGCAACGTATAGTTTAGAGTTTGTATATGGTTTTAGATTATAATTTTGTCATTTTCCGGTTCTAGACTCACTTTACCTGCTTCTATCCGACCCACTTTAATGTTTACAGGTTTTTGGATTCTAGACCTATTTTACTCGAAACCGAACCAGAATCGGTTCCTATATACAGGTCCGGTTTTCGGTCCTACAAAATCCCGTTAATCGGTTTCCAAATTTTCCAAAGTCCGTGTCTACCTATCCGGGTTTAGACCAACTCTAATTCCTAGACTTACTCATAAAAGAAAATAATAAAGAAAGAGGGGAGGGGGGGGGGGGGGGGGGGGGCGCGTTAGGATATTATTATGGTGTTGGGTAAACGCGCAGTCTAACCTAGCCCAGCCCCAGACGACCGATTGAATTTGTTATCGCGATTCACACAACATCGTCAAAATGTGTAATCCAATTCTCATTGACCCAAACCCTAGATTTATTCCCACTTTCTCTGTGTTTCTGTCGGTGAATTCGAGACGAAGAATTTGCATGTTACATTGATTCGCAGTCACGCAAAAATCTCTATCAGATCTGGTTGATTGTATCGGTAAGTTTAATGTTTGTTTTCTTGTATAATTTTTAGTAAAATCATATTTGTTTTTTATTTCTAGCTAATTAAGGTATCGATTCTCTCTATTATGACTTTAAATATCAACTTCAGTTGTTTTGAGGTGTAATTAACGATAAGGTGCGACTACTTTTATGTATATTAGGCAAAGGAACGATGGTTATTATGACGGTGAGCATAGAAGGGGTTGTTTAATGTTCATCGATTATGATTTTCTATTTAGTAATTTCTTTTTCATCATGGAAAACCACACATAGGCGAGAAATTCTTTTTCTGTTCCTATCATCTTTCCGAAAGAGTTGCACTTTTGATTGGAGTCAACGAGTACTTTAGAGCTACAAGTTTTCCATCGATCTTGTTTATATATTGAAGTCTTTGTTAGACTATTAGAAGTCTCGACTATCAAATTGATATTCATGGCCTTTTTGATTGAAAAGAAGTTGTAAACTAATAGGGGTGGATAATCAATGGTTGACTTAGCAAAAACTTTTGTAATGAGGGGTTTATTTCTCTTAATGGAATCTGTCAGTTTGTTTTTAAGACACAGGGTTGTTGGGCTATTTTTATCTTGCTCTTATGCTCTTTTCGGATGACTTTGAGGAGGCAAGTTTGATGCTTGTTCTCATGTTCTGCTTTGTGGAGTAGGTGATAAATTGTGTTGACCTTATTCTATGTTAATGGTTACTAGTTTAGTACTTTTTTCCTTTAAGGGGTTGAACTTTTATAGGTAGAAAAGTGATGATATTGGCTACTTATCTCTATGCTTATGATATTTTCTTTCATGGCTGTTATGATGAAATGAATACATCTGTCTTGACAGGTTGAACACAATTTCTTCCACCTCAAGCATGTTCTGATAGGTTATGATTGTGAAGATGGATAAAGCAGTTGCTTCTTCATCACATGACCTTGCCCAACGTCTTTTTGACAAAGTAAGCATTACTATGATCTTTGATTATTACAATTACTTTTTTTTTTGTTTTTATTCAACATGTAATTCATGTATTCAAATACTCACTTGCTTTCTTTGCATCTTAGAACATTGAGTTGGAAAATAAGCGCCGAAAGTCAGCTCAAGCAAGAGTGCCATCAGATCCAAATGCTTGGCAACAAATGCGTGAAAATTTTGAAACAATAATACTTGAAGACCATAGCTTTTCTGAGAAGCACAGTATTGAATTTGCTCTATGGCAGTTACATTACAGAAGGATTGAGGAATTCAGGGCTCATTACAATGCTGCATCTGCTACAGATTCAACCACATCTAGGGCAGGGGGGGCTGCCCGACCTGACCGAGCTTCAAAAATACGTCTGCAATTCAAAACTTTCCTCTCAGAAGCTACTGGTTTTTACCATGATCTAATTTTAAAGATTCGGGCCAAATATGGACTCCCAATTGGACAATTCTACCCTGAACCCGAGAACCATAATGTGAAGGAGAAAGATGGAAAGAAATTTAATGAAGTTAAAAAGGGTTTGATATCCTGCCATCGTTGTTTGATATACCTTGGTGATCTTGCACGCTATAAAGGGCTTTATGGGGAAGGTGAATCAAAAAGTCGTGATTATGCAGCTGCTTCAAGTTACTATTTGCAAGCAGCTTCTCTTTGGCCATCTAGTGGGAATCCACATCATCAGGTTAATCATTAAGTATCATTAAAGATTTAATTTAATTAAGTTGTACGTTTATTTATATAATTATATCCTCATTCAATTTATTTTTTTTATGTTTTGCAGCTTGCTATATTGGCTACTTATTCAGGAGATGAATTGATGGCTGTATACCGTTATTTCCGAAGTCTGGCAGCTGAAAATCCCTTCTCCACTGCAAGGGATAACTTGATAGTAGCCTTTGAGAAGGTATGCATTCTCAAAAATAAATAAAGATTTTGATTTTGTTCAAAAATGGCTTTAGAGGAAATAAACAAAATAAAAAACTTGTTCATATTCGCAACATTATGTCTTGTGTTGTTTGTTATGTTTACAATTATTTTACATGCAGAATCGGCAAAGTTATAGTCAGTTGCATGTTGATTCAAAAGCTTCTTCTGTGAAGGAATCATCTGTTAGGACAAGAGGCAGAGGAAGAGGGAAAGGGGAGCCAGGTGTCCGATCAAAGGAGCCAATTACCGATACTACCCCTGATGTGGAAAAAGCAACTGAAATTCGCCAAGTGTTTAAAGCTTTTCGTGTTCGGTTTGTTCGATTGAATGGCATTCTTTTCACACGCACAAGGTATGTATGTTCTTAGACAGTGGTGTAATGTTTGGTATGATGGAATTCAGAATGGAATGGAATCGTTCATTCCATTGGAAATTTGGAATAAAAAGAACTTTCTGTTGTTTGACCGAATGAATTTTTTTTTCTTTACATCATAAAAAAATGCAATATATAATCCATGTTTATTATGTAGTTTTTGTTTAATGGTTTTAATTAACTTACAATTTTGTTTCAAAAAATCGCTATTTTATTCATTTTGATTTTATTTGGGTTTTAATGAGCTTTTTCTTTGTTTAATTTTTCATGTGGTAAATAAACAACCTTAACTAAAGTTAAATAATGTATAGAGTAGGGGTTAAAACTATACAAATGGCATTAAAATCTATATGAAATTAATTCCATTCCTACAAGATAGCCAGATCTGATAATAGAATGTAATCACTCATTCCATTACCTTTTTTTTATTCTATTAAGTAGTGTTTGGTATGATTAAATCAGGGAAAGAATGGAATGATTCATTCCATCGGAATTGGAAAAATCTGTTTGTTTTGTGTAATGGAATGGAATGAACCAGTTTTGGAGGAATGTGATTCCTTCCATTTCTAAATTTTTACTCCTTACTTTAGGTTATATATATATATATATATATATATATATATATATATATATATTACTCTATCATGGAGTTGAATGAAAAATTGCAGTAGAACTCATTTTATTCATCTAATTTGTGGTGAAACAAATACTTTGTTAAGATTTTTTGCTATATACATTGTATTTAGATATAATATAAAAAACAATTCTTATCCTATATGCTAACAAAACATGATAATGGAATGTAATGACTGATTCCATCACCTTTCCAATTCCATTACTCTGTGATTTCATTCCATTCACTAATCACATGAAATATTATTTCAGCTTGGAGACATTTGAAGAAATCCTCTCTCTAGTCACCAACACTTTACAAACCCTTCTTTCTTCCGGAGCAGAAGACGAGCCAAATTTTGGCACAGATAATTCCGAAAACGCCCTTTTCATCGTAATACTTGTCACCATACTTATATTCACAGTCAACAACGTAAAAGGAGGACCCGAAGGTCAAACATACGCAGACATTGTCCAAAACACAGTTCTCCTCAAAAACGCCCTCATCACATTTCACAATCTAATCGGTCAACTCCTGAAAAGATGCCTACAGTTGACCAATCCTTCCTCAAGCTTCTTACTTCCCGGAATCCTAATTTCCATGGAATATCTCGCTTCTCGACCCGATGTTATTACTGAAACTGATGACTTTTGGACCCACTGCATATCTTTCTTCAATAAACTTCTCTCTGCTGAAATCAATGATATGACAAGGTATGAAGAGAGGGAAAATGATTATCAGCCTGCATTGTGGGAGGATTTTGAAACCAGAGGATTTTTGCCCCTTCAATCTGCCCAAACTTTTTTGGATTTTTCAAGGAAGCATTCTGTTTCGGGTGATAAATCGGCTCGTGTCAAGCGGCTTCTGGCTGCTGGGAAAGTTATTGCTGACCGGATTACAGTTGACCGGAAAAAGGTCAGGTTTGACCCCAACATGAAAAAGTTTGTTATTGGCATTGAAACACAGAAACATGAAAACAAATCAAATGGGGTGATTAAAGAGGAGGCACCTGCACTTGTGGAAAGTGATGAGGAGGATGAAGTGATTGTTTTTCGGCCAAATTTGATTGATAATCGGACGGAAATGCCCCTGGTAAAAGGGACCACTCAAGAGGAGGTTGAGAATGTGCGAAGTAAAGATTCGGGTACTACTACTACTACTAGTACTACTACTCAGTTTGCGGTTCCGGTTTCGGTGTACAATGCAGTCGGGCAGCCATATCATCAGTCTCCGATGTGGCCGGGCAGCCTTACGGGCGGGTTTAAAGGTTTAAGCTTAATGGCAAACGGGCATGTGGGTCAACCCGGAATGCAGACTTCAAATCCTGCCCTTCCAATCCAGCAGGTTATGGGTATACGTGAAAGCAGTGCAAATTACGATATCATCCCTCCTTCTGGACCAGATCCTTACATTGTGGGTCGAAACACGTTCCCACATATAAATATGCCGGCTAGCTCTTTGAAAGTTTCTACGGGTCGACCCGTTAGACATCTTGGACCCCCACCTGGATTTAGCTCAGTGAGACCTAATAATAATAATAGTAATAAGCAAGTGGGACAGAATCAGAATCCTGTGAATGATGATTATAGCTGGTTGGATGGGTATCAGTTGCAATCATCAATGAAGGCAGGGGTACAACCGGTAAATTTCGGAACCCACTATATGAATATGAATGAATCCGTTGCTACTACTTCTAGTTTTCCGTTTCCCGGGAAACAAGTTCAGTTTGAAGGCGCAAGGCAGCAAAACTGGCCGGAAACCGCCACAGACCACCGTGAAACACTTCAACAGCAGTATGTTCCCCTTCCCCGATTGGACCAACAAGGGGGGAAGTCTATATGGAAAGGCAATCAGTTTGTGTGATTTCTCTGAGCAGTGCACGGTATATATATTTATTTTGACCCTTCTACTTTCAAGTTTTTACGTTCTTTACCCTTGTATTTTTGTATGAACTTTGTTCTTCTGTGTTGTGTTGTGTGAAGGTCATTCGTGATTGTTCTGATGTGGCATTTGATCCTCTTCTTAATCATCATGACATGAAGTTACACACTCCAACTTAAACCAAATCAATTTTCTTAAGTTTTATTTTGGGGTGTGGCGGTGCTGGCAATCTCGGCATGCTTGCAGCCAAAAAAGTGAGCATCAACTCTTACTACTATCACTTAAATTGTTAATAGGGTCATTTGGGTTGTTATTATTAATATGTTTTTAAGGTTTTATCTTATTTACAGAGACTGTGAGTGGCTTTCCCAGTGGAGTCGGAAACAACCTGGTACTGTTGAGTTCTACATTTGTGGTTATTTGGTTTGGGGAGGGATGTGGTCCATGTGATTGATGTCAGCATATCCATATCCGTATCTGCCTAAAATCTGTATAAATGTCTCACTTGTGGCTTTATCTCTGGAGATGAAAATGAAAATGAAAATGGTGGAACATCTCAATGGAAGCAGATTATAATAAATCATAACATATAAATGTTTGTTATATTCAACTTCTGCCATTCGCCCTGATGCTTCTCTGTATGTTAGAAATAATCTTGGTTTTTTGGTTTTTGTTTTTTATTGATACATGAGAGGTATGTTTTTGCTTTTGTTTTTGTTGGATTTTGAACAAACTACTACAATTTCACATGATGTTTGTTGCTCAATAAATTTTTATTTGCTTAGTAATTGCTGTCTATTAATTTTTTCAGGGTCCCGGTTATTTGATATAATAAAAGCGATCATCTTTTTATTTTTTTTTTTTTTTATTTCCGTAACTTTATATGATAAAATTGTCTTTTTTTGTTATACGCTTTTCACTTTTATTGTTTTCGTGCAACAATTTAATACTTAAGTTTGTTTCTTGTTACTGTTTTCTGTAATAGTTTTATTTCTTTGATTTTTGTGCGTTGATTTTTCTGTCGTCGTATGATAATGGTAATGATTAATGTGTTTGTTTTAATATTTGACCAAAAGTATGCAAAAAAAAATAATAATTGTATTTTAAAGTCTGCAGATTGTATAAATAATAAACCACATAATATACATACACCTATTAAATTTAAAAGGCATTTGCTGTCTTGATTCTTATGGTCATACCTACTAAGTTGAATCCTATTTGCATCAGATTTAACAAACCTTAGAAGGAATCTATTAGTAACTTAAAAAATTGTTAAAAAAAACTTCAACTCCTTAGCTGAAGAATACCTTTCACCTAAATGTGGTCTAATTTTCTTCCATTTTGTACTTGGGTCTTCTTTGTTGTTGATGTTTCTTTCACTAGATGTGTTATCATCAGACTGTATATACTGTTTCATCATCCGCATGCATTACCTATTTCTAACTTAAACCTCACAAATTCGAATAAGAAAGGATTACGTGAATATTGTCCTCCAAAGTGTCTTTATCACTGTTTTCAAGCTCTTCATTTACAACAAACAAATAGTGCTAGGGATTTAATATCGTTATCCTCCTTCATATCACAATATGAACCATCCCTTTCTTAAACGTGATTATCGATAAAACTGAAACCGAAAACAATCAATGAAATTCATCAACCAAAAAACTAAAAGAATAGTTTGTGTGCCACTTGTCATTTTCTTATTTTTTTTTAATTTTTTTTCTCTCTCTCTAAAAATGACACATATCTTTTTTTTTATGATTTTATATTTAAATTTAAATTATTTTAAATCCTTTAAAATTAGCATTATTAATAGAGATTTTGAAATTCAAAATATTTGATAATCAATTACTTGATCTTTGATAGAAAGAAATAATCAATTATAAATAATCTTGTATTGCATTCATTTCTCTCTCTCTTTCTATTTTTTTTCTTTTTTTATTATTATTACATTTTTTATAAACATCTTTATATAAATTTGTTTAAAATATTTTTGTTACATTTATTATCTATGTTATTTTAATTTATCAACCATGTACTACACATGTTATAACCTATATATATATATATATCTATATATATATATATATATATATATATATATATATATATATATATATATATATATATATATAGTTGATATTGGTACATCGTGACCGGATGTACTTCAAAGAATCTACCTTCTAAGGCAATGTCATTGTAATCCAAATACAAAGCAACTTTCAGTTCTACAGTAAGAAAAATAAAATAAAAGAAAATACTAAATTGAGTACAATGTTCAAATGATTACCATAACTATTAAATAAAGGAAAGTAAAATGATGTAATATAAAGAAATAAAACCATGATGCTATAATGCACAAACATATGACTGTACATTGTTTGGGTTCTTCCAAACATATTTTAAGCTCAAAGCGCAAAAAAAAACCCCTGGAATTACTAAACTTCATATGCAATAGTAAATGAATTGGCGTGTTAAAAAAATAGTAAAGGAATTGCCGAATTGGGCACACAATGAGTTAAAAATTAAGAAGTATGGCTAAAGCAAGAAATAGCAACATACTTTTATTTATTTGTATATTATAGCTTCCTACTTTCATTTCTTTCGATTACAATAATCTACTTCTAACTTTTTCTTATTAAGGCATTGTACTTTCTTATATACATGACATTTTCTCTTGTTTAGAAGACTGCAATATGAGGTAAAAGTGTTGTTTTAAGCAGCTTCATTTCTTAAATTTTTTATTTATCTTTTTCCGAATATTTTTTTTTTCTTTCAAAGAGAGTCTATTTCTCAAGTTTATTTTTATCAACGCTACCACTAGTCAATACAAACTCCTAAAAAGAAAAATAGTAAGTACCATAATAACATTAGAGATTGTTGTAAATTGTAATAAGTATATTCAAGTTGAATAATTCAATCATTCATAATCATACCCAATTAACCACTACAAGATCAACACATTTAGAAAAAAAAAAAAAATCTACGTATGGGTTCTTGTTCTTCAACATATAACCTAATACACAACCATTTGATCAATCAGTCTCGTTGCATTTCTTCAATCTCTTGGATCTTAGAGGATATCCATCATGTGTTCTCAATGGCATCCATTTACTTCCCATCACTCTAGTTTTGTTACATTTCTCACCTTTAATATCTGAAAGGCTACAAAAAGTACCACAAGGAGACTCGGGCAAAGTTTCTGCCCGAGATGAAACACGGGCAGCTTCTGTTTCTCTAGAATTTCCACAATCTTCTTCCATTATCTTCAAAGAACTACCATCTTGTTTATGATCAAGTTCTGTTTGTTTCAGGATGTCTTTAAGAATCATATTTGTAAAAGCACAAGCTTCGGATTCTCGGGCAGTTGACATTAATATATCGCGTGCCCGAGTTACCGGGAGATCATTGAACGATAAGGGCAACGATCTTTCACATTTTTCATGGGAAAAATTACCAAAGTACCCTTCCCAGTTAAATGGAAATCCTGAAAGGAAATGATCACAAACCTGTTTCAAAGTACAAAGTTGTAACAGAAGGTGAAAAATTGAAAGCATGATGCTATATTACACAAATATATGAATGTGCGTTGTAAAGAAATTGGCTATTCAATTTGAGTACAATTTAAAATTTGGTTAAATGAAAATGTTGATGATTGATTACTGATACCTGAGGTGAGAATCCATAAGATAGGGTGCGTGAGCTATGTATGGAACCAATAATGGTGATTGTGAAGCCATCTACTGTTTCAAGAGTGTTGTTATCAAGCCTCTTGCTAATTGCTGCAGAATTAAAAACTTTGGTTTCCGTGTTGAGGTTGTTGTTGCACCTTTTGCCAACTGATGCTGACCCCAAAAGTCGCATTCCACGTGATCCTAATGTCCTATAAGATTCACCATTAACTTTTGTAATTAATGGCAGAAAAAAAACAAACATTTTTTTAACAAAAAACCATGTTAATCCATCATGCAAAACAAGCCTTTGCCAAAAGCAATTTTACCATCATTTTATAAAAAATATTCAAGCGGATATATAGATTCTATGGTGAAGAATATTAAGGAGTTGGAATCTGTGGAGCATTGGGTTGGCAAGAAATGAAATAGAATTCAATAACAAAAATTACAAAGTTTCGAAATTTTTATTTATATTTAAATATTTCTTTATTGATTGTAGATATGAATGATTGAAGTTGTTATTTTTACACATTTTGCCTATGTACAATAAGGGTATTTTCGTCTTTAATGAATAATGGAATTTGAATTCCGTCTGAATCCAGGAGTACTGCCATTTTAGGGCTACCACTTGTAAATATATATTTGTAATTTTAAAACTCTAACCCTAATTTGAGATCAATAAAAGAACTTAGGTCATCCCTGTGTTTTTGTGTTTTGTGTTCTAGATTTACCCTTGTTTTCCTTTAATCTGATCATTTAACATTTTAACCTCAAAGTCGGATCGGATCAAACTGTAGAATTGCAGTATAAGAGGAAAGTAAGGAATACAAGTATAAACCCTAAATTCGAATAGGGGTTTTGTTTCTTAACTGAGCATTTTGAAATTTATAAGAGTTTAGTATGAAATAAATCATTACTCTCTGTTAACGTAGCCTCCAACGCCCAATTTTGACTCACTTTCAACCTTTATTAGCCACCATTTGTGCAAAAGAACCTGCAAAGATCATTAAAGTTCATTAGAAACCAAAGATTTTCATATGAATTTTTAACAAATAGATGAATAGCGTAAACCTACTGATTTATAATAGTTCGATGAAGAAATGGGGGTTTTGGATGCACTGGAAAGGTTCGGCATGATGACAGCAGTCACCAAATTTCAAGTTTTTGTCTTGGCAGGAAAATAAAGTGATTATGAAAATTGAATTATAGCCCCATAAAACAAAAACACTCATATATAAGCATGTTAAGTAAAGATTTGGAACCTGCAATCCTGCACATAAAATTACACCAAAAGGGTAAAGAAGAGACTAAATTAACTAATTTCATAAATGAAAATTGCTTTTTCGGAATTAAAATAAGATTATTAGTAGATTGGTATGCAATATGTTTATACAATTTTTTTACAACAACTGCTGGTTTCATGAAAAATCTGATTACTTTGGTCCTAAAAGATCAAAAATCACAATCGGATTTGAGGAACATTTCTAAGCTGATACATTTCTGTTATGTTCATGACCAATATCAGTCAGTATGATCTAATGGTCCAATGAGAACTGAAAAGTATAACCCCAAGTGGTGGATCTAACTCTAAGTATTTGTTTTAAGTAAGCATCCTCTAGTGTGTCCATAAATATAAAAAAAAAAAAATCAAACTAACAACGGATTGCGATAGACAACACATGATATCAAACTATGAGTTCATAGCATATATCTAAATATAATCTCCAAAACTTTAAACTAACAACCCAATCAAATCAAAGGTAGGTTTCGTTTTATTAATTGTACCCAAAATTACATTGTAAACAAGAAACATATCAAGAATCACTTTTGTTTGAACCCTAGTTATAGGGGTGAGCAAACCCAAACCAAGAAACCGAGAAAACGACTAAAACCGACGAAACCAAAACCAAAAAAACCAAAACCGAAGCAAAACCGACGGTTAGGATTTGAATTTTCTAAAAACCGAAAAATCGGGTTCGGTTTCGGTTTTTACCCAGAAACCGACCCATCCAACCTAAGAAACCGACCCATCCTTAAAACCGACAAACCGTCCCAAGAAACCGAACCATCCAACCCAAGAAACCGACCCATGCTTCATTGTGTTTTGCTTATAATAGACTATTTCGGGCTTTGGTTGTAACTTGTAATAGACTATTTGGTTGTAAGACTCATATTTTTTTGAAGTATTTACTTCAATTTGGTGTTTTTTGAAGTATTTAACTTTTTGCTTCATTTCTAGAAAATGCGTTTAAACCCAAAACCCGTGAGTGTATGGGTTGAACCCAAGAAACCGAAAAACCGACCTCAGAACCCAAGAAACCGAACCGATCAAAAACCGATCCTATTGGGTTCTGAAAACCAGAAACCGAATATTTATGGGTTGGGTTGGGTTTGGGTCCAAAACCGACCCATGCACAACCCTACTAGTTGACCAATAATCAATTAAAAACTGTAACACCGTAAATTTTCAAACAAATTTTTCATTTTAAAATCGCATACTTTTCATAGCATATTGTATAAAAATCTCATTTATTCAAATTACAAAACACAACTCCATTAATAATCCAGGATCCTCAAAATATAACTCGTTCTCTGGTGTGTACAATCAAGCCGGTGCCGTCCCGCGATCCTGAGAAACCTGAAACACATAACACATAACACGGTAAGCACAAAGCTTAGTGAGTTCCCCAAAACACAACACACAGCACAACAGCCACTCGAGGCTATACTCAATAAGACCCTCTGGTCAATGTGTCTCAGTGGGACCCTCCGGTCCCACAACTCAGATGGACCCTCTGGTCCCTCAATTCAGCAGCTCCATATAATACACAGTAAACATATCACATAACAAATAACAGGATATCTCAATACACAGCTCATTCACATAAGACTCTCTGGTCACACATAAAATTACCACTCAAGGTAAATATAGTGAGAAGACTCACCTCGACTAGCAGGTAACCGACAATGTCACACCCCCAAACCTAGGATGGCGGAAACGTCCGGGGGTGGAGGACTTCATGTATAGTATCACAACAACGAATATAATAGTGCTCAAAGTATAGACAACCAACATAAATATAATTGAAAAAGTTACATCATAGTATATGTTTACATGTTTCTGAATCAATTACATTATGTTGACAAAAATATAATGTTTGACGCCTTAGCGTTCCATCCTCAAAAGCGGCCGATTACCTGTTTACTGATTTCCTGAGAATACAAGTAGTTTTGAAAAAGTGTCAACAATTAAGTTGGTGAGTTCATAAGCTTTTGAAGGTGATGATAAAATCCTTTTCTTTGTAAAAGAAATGTTTGTTCAAGAAAAATCCAATATTTCTCTTATAAAATGCATTGTAGTCTTAAAAGTCAAAACCGAATTGTACAAGTATTTTTCCATACTTAAAGTAATTTGTGCAAGTTTAATTTGACATAAACTCGTTTAATTGTTGAAGTAAAACCCGTAAATCTTACGTTTTGTTAATACCCCATGTGATTTATTATAACCATACTAAGACTCAGACGGCCTCATAATACGACGTTCTTCAGGCGTCGCAAGTTAAATGACACTTGTCACCTCAGACCTGCCGGTCTAGCTGTTGCATGCAGCTCAGGTGCGGGTTTGTCAGACCCAATATAGATTTATACATAACTATCACGCTCTCCCTACAAGAGACTCTGGTTACAATTTACAGGACTTTTGACTTTGTTACTTTGAAGGTAACACGAAGCGAATGTCTCACAAATTTATTCATTAACAGATTTACGTGAACTGAACTGAAAACCCCTTGGTAATGAATTTGACGGGTTAATGAAACATAAACTATACCTATTATAGTTTAACATAATTGTTTGTAATGTGTATGAAACATAAACTATACTTACCATAGTTTATCATAAGTGTTTGTAATGTAAAAGAACATTTTTCTGTGTAAGTAGATTTATAGCAAAAACATAACTATGTTTATTATGCCTCATTTTGTAATAATAAGGATTCTTACAACTTAATGTCTATTTTTATGTTATATAATTTTATCACAACAGAAAACACATGCAAAATATGAAGTCATCAAGGTTTAACACTTTGCTCAACATGTTACAAGTGTTATGAAAGTTGTAAACTGTAAATTCGTTTTTACCATTTTTGCACTGATTTAGAAAATCACAGAAAATTCATACGAAACCGAAAACTAGATCCGTAAACTCTGAGAGTTTAGAAAATGTGTCTAGTTTGTTCATAATTTTTATTATGATTTTTAGAAGTTGCTAACTGGTGTGAAAACGTTCATATTCACTGATTGGTCCGAATTCGTAGCTACAGTGATAGACAGTTTTGTAAAAATCACCATAATTAGTAGAAAAATAGTATGAACGTGTGCAAGTAGTCATTTTAAAGGTATAAACCTGAAATATTTACACCTAATACAGTTTTGAAAACAAAAAAGTTTAAGATGCTCAAAACAGTCCGTGAATGGAGTTAAACGTTTTTGATGAAAACTGATGGATGAGTTTAGTTGTGTTCTTGGTGTTTTAACTTGTATTCCCCTCCTTAAAACTTAAGAAAAACATGAAAAGATAGGGGTATGAACTCACCTTGTTTGGTTTCAGAAGATGGATGATGAAGAAAGGAAGTGTTCAACTCAAGAACACTTTAGAAGATGCTTGAAGATTCGAAGATCTAACACAAATATGACGATGTTTGTGTAAGATATCCATGATTTAAGTAGAAAGAAAGAGAAATAATCATGTGAGGAGTGATATTACTTACTAGGAGTAGATGAAGAACTTGTGATCAGCCTTGAAATTTCGAGATTAGAGAGGGATAGTGAGAGAGGGTGAGTTTTTGCTTCTTGGAGGAGTGTGAGTGAAATAGGAGGAAAGATGAAGGTCTTTCTATCCTTGTGTCAAGGCACTTGGCTGAAAAGAGTGGGAAAAAGGACAATGAAATGACCATGTATGGTGGAATAGTAACTAGGGATGGTCTTGGAGTGGGTATGGGAGGTAACTTGTGTCCTTGCCCAAAGGATAAGTCAACACTCCACTCCATATCTTACCCACTATATTTTTAGTCTTAGATAATGATTACCCTCAAAATGTGATTAGATTATGAAAATATGGGGCCTTATATGTCAAAATATAAGTTTGGGTGAAAATCCCGCGTTAAAATCACGAAAAACGGGCTCAAAACGCTAAAAATATTGAAAACCGGGTAAAAGTTGCGAATATCCGAAGTTCAGGGTCGGAGGTTCGGTCCTAGCCATTAGAACCGAAAGTAGATGGGAACCGAGAGTAGGGTTCGGTCTTGAGCAGCTTCGCATCTCGGAACCGAAGGTTGTATCTCGGATCGAAGGTAGTATCTCGGACCGAAGGGTGAGTTCGGTCTCTTAGCAGGTTCGGTTCAGGAAGGTGGTTTTGGTTCTCAAGAGGTTTCAGTTCCTTAAGGGAGGTTCGGTTCCTTAAAGCTGTTTTTCGCGTCAACTTCCGTTTTCGAGCGGTTTTCGACTAAATTAAGGGTCGGGATGCCCCGAGTGATTATAAAAAGTTGAGAGAGATTTTGAGAGAGATTTGGGAGAGATTTCACATACTTGGAGAGATTTCTCATACTTAGAGAGATTTGGGAGAGATTTGACATACTTGGAGAGATTTTTCATACTTAGAGAGATTTGGGAGAGATTTGACATACTTGGAGAGATTTGGGAGAGATTTGACATACTTGGAGAGATTTCTCATACTTAGAGAGATTTAGGAGAGATTTGACATACTTGGAGAGATTTGGGAGAGATTTCACATACTTAGAGAGATTTGGGAGAGATTTGACATACTTGGAGAGATTTCTCATACTTAGAGAGATTTGGGAGAGATTTGACATACTTGGAGAGATTTGGGAGAGATTTCACATACTTAGAGAGATTTGGGAGAGATTTGACATACTTGGAGAGATTTCTCATACTTAGAGAGATTTGGGAGAGATTTGACATACTTGGAGAGATTTGGGAGAGATTTCACATACTTGGAGAGATTTGGGAGAGATTTCACATACTTAGAGAGATTTGGGAGAGATTTGACATACTTGGAGAGATTTGGGAGAGATTTCACTTGTGACCTTTTTGAGTGTTTAGCTTTGCAACTCAAGGTTCGTAAACCTTGTTAAGCCATGTTTAAGGGTCTTACACACCCCATAAAGGGTATGCAATAGTGTTTTATCGTTTTGCTACCTCACTTATCCCATTTAGGGTTTAAGAATTTCAATCATACGAACCTTCCAAGTGATAACTTCTTATTAAAATAGCGAGTTGTACAGTAGCTAACATATTGCAAGCCCTAATATTCTAAGGTTAGATGAATTGACCGGTTCGACTTATTAACTTTATTTGACTTTGACTAGCCTGAAAATCGACGGTTGTCACATCATCCCCCCGTTAGAAGGAATTTCGTCCCGAAATTAGCATTTTGACTGGGACTTCAAGAGTTCGGGAAGAG